AATTACGATGAATCTTTGTTTCACAGATGCTATCAAACTAACCGAATAAAGTATAAGATTAGTACTTACAGCCTACGGGAATTTTAATTATTTGCCAATGCGTCGCTCTCTTGTTAACACAAAATCTATCCATAAAGTCACATGAGCGCGTCCATAAATTCTATCGAGACCGATTTTCGCTGGCTAGCTTTTATTGCATGATACGGATGCAACCGAAATGAGGGAATCATTGTATCGATTTCTTTTCGAAGCAGTTGGTAAAACTGGAGCACTTGGTAGGCGATAGTGTTCATGCGTAACATTTGTCATTAGCTGCGTATTTAGTCAAACAGTGGAGTGTGATACTGGTACGCTTGTCTTGTCATACTTATTAAGTATCAGGAAAGCATCGATCAGGTTTCTGTATTCTAGCATGATGAAGAAAATATACGTGCAATAAGGATGAAGGGATTCCTAACATGGCATTAAACGAAAATCAGCTCATGAAAAGCAAGCAGTGGCAAGCTCTTCATTTCAGAATATGAGAAAATAGAGGATGATATTGCCATTTATTATATCTACAAAGTGTCTAGTCGTGAGAGGCTGTGTCATACAGCATGTGGATGTAGGTGTACATGTATGCGTGCACTTGTGTATAGGTGTTTGTGTCAGGATAAGTGAGGATTCAGGTTTGTTTGTTAACTAAGGGATCTACATCGACCCATGGTAGCTAGGCCAACGCCTAAACCCGCAACAACACTCACATCTTGATCATCGGTTTTCCCACTACCTCGACTGATAAATAGTGTGGCAGGAAACGGCGCCATATAATCGCACCTGTTTTCATCATATTATCCCATTTAAGACCGCTTACAATACTGTTTTCGTAGACCTCAAAGTATCTATTATATTGACGAAAATATTATAACTGATCGCAAATTCTTTGACGTTTGTTATTTTACAGCGTAAGGATTTTGTAATTAGTATGCAGCATCAATATTTCTCAAGTACGATCGTTCCTTCGGAGATATACTACACAGTTTTCAAGTAGTTGATGTCTCGTACGATTTTTGTTGGATCACACATATTGCTTTTATATCTTACAAGAGAGGCTTCCCGCATCGTCGATCATTTTTCGACAATTAGTGAGTACAGGTGATAGGGCCTAATGAGTAAGTCAATATACCAGATCACTTTGCTGTCCGAAACCTCTCCTGTTGAGATATTGACTTTTCGATGGTTTTTTTTTCTAAACATCATAGTTTTTGCTGTTCCAATGACTTTCACTTTTTGGATGCTTACATCGAGCATCGGTTCCCATGTTTTTCGTTCCACATTCAGGATTTTCATGATTCAACGTGCGTTACTGATGCTCTAAATAAAGTTAGATCATCGTTCTGTGATCCTATTCTACAGAATTCGTCTTTATGATTTCTTTATTCTAAATTTCAGACTTGCATACACTAGTTTCAAGTTTACCAACTATATAATAACGTATTTAGCCTGGTGAGAGACAGCTTCTCAAGCAGCCGTAATGCCTCGATCAGCTGATAAAGCGTCTGCTTTCCCAGTACTAAACAAGGCAATCGCAAATAGTCTAGGATGCCTTGCCTGTGCTTCGGTTCCGGTAGGTATTCACTGGTTGGATGATGGATTAAATAATCAAACGATCAAGCAATTCCGTTGCTCCAAGTTTCTCAACGATAAGATGGTCATTAACCGATTTTACTTTCGTGAGACTCTTCTTGGTCATAGCTTCGTCATTTTTCAGACGAATTCGGGACACACATTTAGGGTTCATCTCACTGCTGATCTCTATCCAAGAAACTATGGAATAATATACATAGAGATCGAACCAAATCAATGGAGACCAACTAATGATCGTATACGAAGAAGTAGAAGAACAGCATGGGAACTAAAACGTTACATAATGGATGAAATCCAACGATTTGGATATTACGAACTGGGCTTCCACGACTGTCGGCACTTTTCTCGAGCAGTAGCAAGATTTCTGGCTACTTGAACGCCTCACAATCCATTCAAGACATTTACTGCGTAGACACCATTTTCAACTATCACAATTAACGCTCGTTGTCATGACTCGCTTGATCCTCGATTAGATTCTATCAAACCATTATCTCTTACTGTTTGCTGGATTCTGTTTTGAGAACTATCGCTGAATACGCATAGTCGCATAAAGGATCTCTTTATAATGTTGCCAGAGATAATCCTTTTATAAAAAGACTAAATCTTTCTATTAAGATTTTCTAATGTGAACCTTAAGAGACAGCTTGCAGCCGATCGTCAGCGTCCATCCTGGTCGCCACTCTCGACTGCTCGATTTAGTGTATGACTCGGATATAGGAATCCAATTGTGATGGCGAACCGTCTATCGATTCACTGTAGTATCGGTGGTACCGATGGGCGGTGCACTGGTCGAATTTTAGTCGCGTCCTGTTACATCAGTTTTTCAAAATTCGGTACTCGATTTTTCCATTAAAGAAAAGCTTTTTCGAGAAAATAACTTTTATTTATAAAGGATGACGAAAGCAAATCGCAGCTGGGAAATCCGAATCTACAATCAGTTTTCCGGAATTTGGTATTGAAAGGAGATACAACGGTGACGGTGTACCGTCCACCGATCCACCGTAGTACCGGTGGCACCGGTCAACTTTAAGCCTGCCACTGTAACGATGGCACGTAACTGTTAACCAAAACTTGTGAGCCTTGTTTTTCGGATATGAGCGACTTGTACTGTGAAAACAACGCCATCTTTATAGATTTTGATGAAAGATTTTTGCAGCAACATCAACGATGAGGCCGGTGAGGCGAGGAAAATCTACGGTGATGACCGGTGGAGAAGCATTGCTGGCTTCGACGAGCATAAAGGCATCTCAATAACGACACAAGTCGGTCATCGCCGGTCATCACCGTAGATCTCGGATGTGTTAATCGGTTGCATCGACCTAAATGGTGGCCGTTGAAATTGTGTGTTTTATTAGATCATGCTATACTGTAAAAAAAAAAGTAGGATAATAAACTTTTGCTCTGTACACAATTTTTCATAAACTCTCGAAGGGTTGATTACTAACAGTGTACAGTTCGTACTCACCTACATGAGCGTGAGCAGTTTTCCTGTCTGAAATAGAAGACGTATTTTGACTTTGATTTTTTTCATTAGGGTTAGGGTTAGGGTTAGGGTTTTTTCGAACATAATGACTTTTTTTTATAAAGTTTGACCAGAGACTCTTGGGGTTGAGAAATCCGAAGCTATAAATGGTTTTTCGAAATTTTGAGTTCGATTTTTATTCAAAAAAACCTTTTTTACCAAAAAGGTCAGCTTTTTTTACTAAAAGAATTATCTGTTAAGAAAAAATTCATTTTTTTCGCTAAAAAAGCATTTTTTTGTAAAACAGATCATTTAGCAAAAAAAAATAAGTTTTTTACAAAAAAAGTAAATTTTTTGCAAAAAATAAGAAATTTTTTTTGATAAAAGAATCATACTCAAAATTTCGAAAAACCGATTATAGATTCGAATTCCTCGGTCTCGAAAACTTTTGATCAAACTTTATAGAAAAATTATTATTTTTGAAAAACTCTTTGTTTGATGAAAAAATTAAGTACATAATTTTTAGAAACTGATCACCGATTCGGCGGATTTTCCGACCCAAATACTTGTGGGAAAATTTTGTCAAAAATTGTTATTTTGTTATAATAACCTTGCGTTGACGAAAAGAATCAAATCCAAAAATTTTCAGTCATCCCAATGACTGATAAAGTAACTGTTTGTACAGCAGTAACTTCGCACCTTTAACCGATTCAAATTACAAGCAGGTGAAAATTGGACCAAGTACATCTCTAGTAACAGGTACCGCAGTACCTTTGGACCAGTACCATCGGTGCACCGTCACCGTTGTATCCTTACTCGGGTATAATTTAAAGTGGTGCTTCATTTTCTTTTTCAGCACATTTTTAGTAGTATAGAGAAATTTATGAAAAAGAATTTCATTTTTTTTGTTGACTATCAATTGTTTGTAGGATATCTAATAAGAGGATTAATAAATTTAAAGCAACGGGGTCGACATCTTAGATTATATAGTAAGAATAGGACTCGCAGACATGCGATGCTAATTCTCACAGTCTCTCTTTTGGCTAATTCTTTTCTGGTAGCCTACCCGTAGTCATTGGGAAATTATTGCATGTGGTCTTTGTTTTAATATTTGAACCATCCTGAAATTCTCATTCTTCATATTCTTTAAAATAATAAATGACATGTCTTCCTTCGACAGGTATGACACGTACGAATAAGTATTCTCATATGAAGATGTTGCTGTATTTTAGCAAAAGAATGTTGATCTAAATCTCATCGTAACTATTTGATTAATAATGTTTCTGCTTGTCGCTCACAGCAACCCACATTTCCTTCACGTTTTCATGTAAAGTCTTCCTCACTCTGACACGACAAATTCAGCTTCAGGCCAGTCATAATAATTATTCTTGATTCGTAACTCTTTATTGCTGTGTGTTTGTTTCGTAT